GTCCAGCGACATAGCCGTTACGCCAACTGCTGGTCCCTTCATTCATTGATTTTGATTTGACCAGGTAGTGACACAGAGAGAGAGAAAGTGAGTAAGCAAGCTAGCAGGTCAAGGATTCGTACAGCAATCATGTGGTAGTGTCCAGTGCTTTAACCACCGTGCCACCTGCTGGCCCCAAATTGCTTAGTTTTTGACCCTTTGGATTTCCACTTAAAGTGAATTGCTTATTCCTATCCTTTCCTTACTGTTCTGTTGCATCTGTTTTAATTTTTTGCTAATTTGTGGGAATCCTGTTACATTAATAACAATAGTCCTTCATATGTATTTCAGATATTTTCCCAGTCTATTTGACTTTATTAATGGCCATATTCCTCTTACCTCTTTTTGATTGATACACATATTAAGAAATACATTCATTTTTGCATCATGATTTACTACTTAGATATACACAAAAGCATATGCAGAAGATTTCCATAGCAATATTTTTTTCTAAATTTTGTATATTCTTATTTTCCTATACTGTTCCATTAAGATGAAAAACTCCTGTCACAGAGCACTAAATTGGTACTGGGACTAATGGATTGTGGTCAGCAAATTGAAAAGCACTATATTGTAGTGTCTCTGCTTTTAAAATTGTTTGTAATTTAAAAAGTTGGTTTTCATTTTCTTTATGGCTTCTCACTTTTTACTAATTTAGAAGGGTTTCCCCACGTTCTAAATTCTTTTACACCTAACATACTGGTGTTTGTGTATTTATGTGTACGTGTGTGCTAGAGAGAGAAACATGTAAAACTTCCATGAAATTCACATTCCACTATCCATAGGTAGTAATATTGGAATATACCCATTAGTTTGTATATGATTTATGAATTCTTCCTGGATACAATGCATAACAATTTTTATTTATTTATTTTTTTGGGGGGGTGGCCGGGGATAAGTGACCTTATTAGAGAAAGCCAAAGTTACAACGGACTTAAGAGTTGGCATTGGGGCCCTTCTCGCCAAACATGGGCACAAAATTAACAAAGCACGGGTTGTACTGCATTCGCCACTCGGCCCGGCCCATCTTCTTCTTCTCCTGTCTGGCCACCTTGGGAGTCTGACCTCTCACTTTCCCAGCTCGGGTCAGGGAACCATGGACTTTACCTCGAAGCATACAGCCGGCTACTTCCAAAGTAGGCAGGGCCTCCACCCCACACTGGCCCAGTGTAGCCTCATCCTCCAGGGGCGTGCCTGCCAGGAGCATGACCTGGTCTTCAGGGGCGATGCCCTCCATTGAGGATCCATGGGTCTCTGCCCCCCATGGGCAACCGTTTCCTGGCAGGTCACCTCGAGGGTATGTAGCTCCTGGGCGCGAACGATGTCTGTGACTGAGGAAAACAAAAAGCCTCAATCGCAGTCGAGATACCGCGAAGATGGGAGTCGAGCGCGTAAAATATTTTTTTAAGAAAGAGATTTTGCTATAGCGCGTGTGCTAGCTGGAGAGACAGAGAGACAGAAAGTGATAAATCACCAGCCTGGGGGGTGGCCACACCACAATCCCTTCTCCATTCTCCTCTTGGGATCTCTGGGCCCTGAGCCTAGGACTCAAAGCATAGTCAGCTATGTGCGAGTACAGCGATGTAACTGTTCTGCCATCTGCTGGTCCCTTGGTGAAATTTCAACAGATTACTTGGCCCACAAAGCTTCAAATTATTACTATACCTTCCTTTACAGAAAAAAATGTGCTATACTCTGTCAAGAATGATGTGTTTAGGCAACTTATAGTCTGTTCACACCTTTCCATGTTAATAAGTGAATTTGGGGGGCAGCAGATGGCATATTGATTAGGGGCACTGGATTCCCACATGGCTGAAGGCAATTGCAGTCCTGGACCTGGCAGCTTGCTTTCTTACTTGCTTCTCTCTCTCTCTGTTCAAAATTTTTTAAATAAATAAAGTTAAATAACATAATTCTAAAAGAGAGTTTTTTTGTCATAGGGCAAGTGCACTAGCCAGAGACAGAAAGCGAGAAATCGCTTGTGGCGATGGCCACAATCCCTTCTCACAGCTCCATTCTTCTCCCTGGATTTTGGGAAATTACACCCACTTGCCAGGCATTAGTTTTAAGCCACTGGATCCTGAACTCGAACCGCTGTTGAGTAGGGTGGGAGTCCAGCGACGTAATCATTACACCATCTCCTAATCCTCAAAGAAATTTTTGTCCAAACCATTTCTCTCTTATAAAAATATAGTGTTTTTTGACAGGAATATTTATATCTTTTTCATATTTAGAGTTTTTTTTTTTTTTTTTTTTTTTGAGATTTTTGCTATAAGCTGCATGTGCTCACCAGACTGAAATAAATCAGGGGAGATGGCCACCCTGGATTCCCTTCTGCATTGTCCTCGTGGGATTTTAGGCACACACACCCACATTGCCCAGAATGAGTTTCAAGCTGTTGGGTCTAGGACTTCAACCATGGTTGACTATATGAAAGTCCAGCAACGTAACAGTTATGCTGGTCCCAGTATGGGAATTTTTAAATTAATTAATTAATTTCTTCAGAGAGATTGCTATTGCCTATAGGGTTTTAGTGCCATGATTACTTAGGGCAGTGCTCTATGTGCTCAGGGGGACCTCAGCACATAAATCCAGGATCTTTCCCATGTGGGTACATTTGTTTACCAATAAGTCACCACTTGGTCCCGTGTTTAAATTATTCACCTATCTTTTTTTCTTTTATTTAAAGAGGTTTTTGATATACGGCATGTGCACTTGCCAGAAAGACAGAAAATGAGAAATCACTCTCAGGGACGATGGCCACACCACAATCCCTTCTCCTCCATTCCCCTCTCAGGATCTTTGGCACACATGCACATGCGCCCATGTGAGTTTAGGCCACCAGGTCCAGGACTCAAACCAGAGTCGACTACATGGGAGTCCAGTGATGTAGCCATTTTTGCCATCTGCTGGTCCCAACCTATTCTTTTTATTGCATGATTTAAGGTTAGGGGCTGACTTTCTTCCTGTGTCATTATGAAAACAGTGTCATTTTTCTATAACTGTTTAGAAATCCCAGGTTTCTCCATTTTAAATGTTTTTGTCCTTCCATGACTGGACTCAGAGAGAGAGAGAGAAACAGTGAGAGGGAAAGCAAGAAATAATCCCCAACCCAAGGGGGATGGCCATGCCGCAATCCCTTCTCCTCCATTCTTTGCCTAAGATCTTGGGGATGCAGGTGCACGTGTCTGATGTGTGTTTCAAGTTACCAGGTCCAGGACTTGAACTGCAGTGGACCATATGGGAGTGCAGCGACGTAACCACTATGCAATCTGCTGATTCAATATGTATCATTTTGAATTGCTAGAGAGTGTATGACCTTACCTCATTTTTGGTAGACTTCATCTCACTCTCTCAGTGGCAAGGACACACACCCTCTTATAATTGAAGGGGGAGTTAAAAACCCAAAATTAAACACAACAGAAACATCCATCAATATAATAAAGATCACTGTATCTCACAAGAATTATTTTTATTTTTATTTATTTACTTTTTAAAATTTATTTTATTTTATTGGAGAGGTTTTTGCTATAGGGCATGTGCACTCACCAGAAAGAGAGACAGAATGCGAGAAATCACCTCCTGGGAAGATGGTCATGCTGCAATCCCTTCTCCATTATCCTCTCAGGATCTTGGGCATGCACGCACATGTGCCCTGTATGAGTTTAAGCGACTGGTTCTGGGACTCAAACTGCTGTCTACTACATGGGAGTACAGCAACATAGCCATTACAGCAACTGCTGGTTCCAACAAGAATAATTTTTAGTGAAAGGAAGATAAAGTTAGAAAATTAGCAAAATACATGTATGATGTTCAGTATCAAGACTGGGTAACTCTTGGACTGTGTGATAGATGACTAGATGGAAGTTTCATGCTTTGGATCTGGACTCAGGGTGTTTATTTTGTTAAAGTTCACTTAGGGTTAGTATCGTTTTCTGTTTGCTGTTCTACTGTAACATAGTTTTCATTTTAATGATAGTGGGTGTTGGACCATGGGCTGATAGTGAAAACAATGCCCTGTGAGTTTCACCCATATTTATATCCTGAGACTGGGATATGCATTCCCGTGTTCGAGGGCCAGCTGAGGCTGGAGTTGATTGTGGTGTCGTGGTCGCTGAAGGAGAGTGCTATCTCTCTGCATCTTTTAAAGTTATTTTATTTTATTTATTGTTACTGTTACATTTTAAAATTTGCTGTAGGGCTTGTATGCTCACCAGAGAGTGACAGAGAAAGAGAGACGAAAAGAGGAAAATGAGAATGCAATTCATCAGGTCTAGGACTCAAACTGTTGATCGCATGGGAGTACACTGCCTCAACCACTACACCACCTCGTGGCCCTTTTCTGCCTCTCTTGATTATGAAAGAATTACATAAATAAACTTAGTAAAAAGATAGATAATGCCCACTGAGTTGTAAAATGTACAAAATATTGATTATTGGAGAAAGGAAAATAAACCTTAAAAATAGAAGGTAGATGTGTCCCACTAAATACTATAAATTAAAAAATGTTTATTAAGTTTCTATCAAATAACAAATGAATATGTATGCCAAAATATAACAGGCAAGAGATTATTAATAGGTTTTATTTATCTTTTTGAATTTATCCTATAGTCTTGTTTTTGCTATTTTATAACCATTTTGAATCTGTAAAAAGCAAAAATAATATTATTTTAGGTTGTATTCACAATGGCTTTACACTAGTTCCAATTCAATTAAGTCCCTACTTTTGCCAGCAGGTGGCATAGTGGTGCGCTGGAGTCCCACATGGCCAGCCATGGTTCAAGTCCCAGATGTGGAGACTTGCTCTCTAGCTTTCCCTTTCTCTCTCTCTGGTCAAATTAAAAATAATAGTAATAACAAATGGTATTAAATAAATAAATCTTTTTTAAAAATTTAAGACCCTACCACTTTTATTCATATTATTAAGGAAATGGTGAGTCATTTCTGTATTTATTTTACAGGTAGATTTTGAAAACAAACCAGTAAATGGCCTCAAGTCAGAATCCATGGAATACAGTAGGTGTGGTCATGGGGAAGAACAACGATTAGAATTGGATCCACATCCACTTGAAAATGTAACTAAAAATGAAGAGAGCATGACAGGGCTCCAGATCGACAAATGGACAGCAAGCAAGAAATCACATTTCACTGGTCAAGTCACAGGAGATTTCAGTTCAAGTGTCACAGAATCTGGAAAATCAAAAAACTCTGAAGATGACAATAAGCAAACCAAACCTCCGAAATTGTTTACACAAACTCTGAGAAATGGCATTAAAAATGTGCCCTTTGTACCACCTGAAACCGATGTGTCATTTAAAAAATTCAATATTGAAGAGTTTGACAAGGCATTTGAAAACAGTACCTGTAACGTGCTGAAAGACCCCGCAAACCATCACAATGCCATGAGCTCCATTGTGACTAATGTCAGTTGTGATCATCTCAAGGGAAGAAATAATGTCTTAGTCTTCCAGAAGCCTGGCTTTAACTGCAGATCTATTCAAGACTCTGCAAACCTCAGCTTAAACAGTCATACTGGTATACACAGTGAGGGCGATTTACCAAATACCCCTGAGAATTTACCAAGTAAAGAACCGCAAGACGGATCTCCAGTTCAGCCAAGTCTTCTATCCCTAATGAAAGACAGGAGATTAACATTAGAGCAGGTGGTGGCCATAGAGGCCCTGACTCAACTCTCAGCAGCCCCATCAGAGAATTCTTCCCCCTCAAAGTCAGAGAAGGATGAAGAAACAGATCAGAGAACAGCCAGTTTGCTTAATAGCTGTAAAGCTATCCTCTATTCCGTACGAAAAGACCTCCGAGATCCAAACATAGAAAGAGAGCCACAGAATCCTCGTCACTGTTCATCTTTGGAAAAACAAAGTTCACGTAGCACAGTGGTGTTCAATGGCCACAATGGCCAAAATACCCTTTCCAAGTCCCCTGTCAGCTCAGCTTGTAACCAAGTATCCAAAAAGTTGCAAGAAAGTTCGAAAGTTGCAAATTCCCTATCTCTTTTCACACCAAAATCAAATGCCACAAAAATTGATACCAATAAGAGTATTGCTCAGGGTAGGATTACTCTTGACAATTCTAAGAATTTACATCAGTTGCACATAAGAAGTAATAAAGTGGCATCTTGTAACCAGCTACTAAACAGCGTTAAAAATTTGGACTCAGATGATCCATCAAGTCAAGATGTTACTCACAGTAAAATCGAGGAAGATGTTGCAACACAGTTAACACAACTAGCATCAATCATTAAATTCAATTATATAAAACCAGAGGACAAAAAAGTTGAAAGTACACCGACAAGCCTTGTTTCCTATAATGTACAGCAAAAATCTAGTCAGGAGAAGGTCTTAATACAACCAAAACCACCTTCAAGTGTACAAAATGATCGTAGCTCATCATTAGTAAAGCAGAAGAACACAACCCAAAAAAAGACAAAATCCACCCCCTCACGAGATCGGCGAAAAAAGAAGCCCTCAGTTGTAAATTGTCAAGAAAATGATCAAAAGAAGCAGGAACAGTTGTCATATGAGTATAGTAAGTTACATGACATTTGGATAGCATCGAAATTTCAAAGATTTGGTCAATTTGGACCACACGAGTTTCCTATTCTGTTGGGAAAACTTTCTCCCCTCACCAAAGTGTGGAAACCACTGGCTCCAACGAGTGCAGCCCTGCAACAAAAGAAATTATTTCCTCCGCTCGCTCAGATAAAATTCGAGAGATATCCTGAATTAGCACAGGACAAAATGATGAAGGTGGAACCATTGGATTCATTCCCCATATGTCATTTCAAAACAGAATCTGACGGACAGGTGTTTACAGATAAAGCGTCTCAGGTACAGTCTGCAGTGAATGTCAATCAGAAAGCTCACCCCCTGCCCCAGCCCTACTCTCCACCCAACCAGTGTGCTGATGTGATGGCTGCCAGTGACCAAACTCAGTTTCATCAGGATTGTGAAGAGCAACTCGTCCATCAGAGAGTGCCACCATTGCCTGGTACCTCTCATGAGACACCCTTACCGGACCCAGCACAGATTCTCAGGAATGTAAATGTAGTTTGTTCAGGTGGAATCACAGTGGTTTCTACCAAAAGTGAAGAGGAAGTCTGTCCATCTAGTGTTGGAGCATCAGGAGTTTCCCCAACAGATAGTACCCAGAAAAGTTTTAACGATTATGCCATGAACTTCTTTACTAAGGCTACAAAAAACCTGATATCTGTAACAAAGGATACTGAAGTGCCAGAGTGCGACTGTCTAGGTAAGTCCTTGTGTGCTTGTGTTCGTCTTTCACCTGCATAAATTGCCTCAAGTCATGACAGAATCAAGTTCTGATCAATCTTTTTCTTGTGTGGTATTTTTGCTCCATTCCCATTCTAGCTAAGTTGGACTAAGTAATACTGTACCCATTTTTCTGTGGGACTTTTATTGATTCTGCTTAGAAAAATGGAAAATTCAACTCATAATTTGGAAAAACCAAGGTAAACTTTCTCAAGTGGAAAATATGCTGATTTTTCTCAAGGCTAACTGTCTCTCAAGTTGTTTCTTGTGTGTATCATAAGAACAAATTTCCATCATTCTTTCTTGCAGTTTGTTTATTCTTCCTACATGCAAAAGATTTGCAGCCCACAAGCCTTTCATTGAAAATATCTTCATTGTAAGATATAACATGCATGCACAGAATATGAAAAATATGTACAATTTAACACACATCGTGGGAAATATCTGTGTGATTACCTACCCACTCATGATGAAAGAGGACTGATTGATTTCATTTTCAGTGTGTATTGCTTTTGTTTTCTATAATATTATGGTTGTACCCAAACATTAAGAAATTCTGCAATCTTGGCTGCTTTAAGAATTTTTTTTTTGAGTTTTAAAATAATTATTTATTTTATTTTATTCGTTATTATTATTTTAATTTGTTTAGAGAGAGAGAGAAAGTGAGAAATCAAGCCACCAGGTCCAGGACTCAAACTGCAGTTTGACCATGTGGGAGGCAGTCCAGCATCCCAACCATCATTCCACCTGCCAATGCTGAGTTTTAAAATATTTTAACAAGAGGCCAGCAGGTAGTGTGGAGGTTAAAGTGCTGGTTTTCCGCATGGCCATCTGTGCATCAATTCCCAGACCCGGCAGCTTAAAAATCATGTTGGCAATGTGTGCCTGTGTGGCCAAAATCCAGAGGTGATAATTGAGAAGAGACTGAGATGTGTCCATTTCCCCTGGGAGGAAATAGTGATTTCTGCCTTCCCCCACTCTGTCTCTCCTGTGAACACACGTGCCTTAAATCAAAAACAAACAAAAATTTTGAGCGTTTTTTGCTATAGGGCACATGCGCTCACCAGAAAGACAGAAAGAGACAGACAGAAAGCAAGAAATTACTCCCCCCCCCCAGGTGGGGGGGGTTGGCCACACTGTAATCCCTTCTCCATTCTCCTCTCAGGATCTTCCACACACATGTGTCTGGCAGGAGTTTAATTCATCGGGTCTGTGACTTGAACCGCAGTCCACTACATGGGAATCCAGTGACATAAACCATTAGGCTATCTGCCAGTCCCAAGCAAAAATTTTTTTAACAAATTGTTTTCAATATATAATAATTTCATATTTAAAAAAACAGTGACCAGCAGATGGCATAATGGTTATATCACTGGACTCCCACGTAATTAACTGAAGTTTGAGCCTTGGGAGCTTCTTTAGAGGTTCTAGCAGGAGAGCGCAGCTACTGATAGACCCTTAAGTGAAGAAACGTCCTACTGGGACCAGCAGTTAGCATAATGGCTATGTTGCTGGACTCCCATGTAGTGGACCACTGTTTGAGTCCCTGACCTGGTGGCTTAAACTCTACATTGAGCATTTGTGCGTGCGTGCCCAAGATTCCGAGAGAATGGAGGAGAGGGGATTGCCACGTTGCCATCCCCCCTGGAGGATGATTTCTTGCTTTCTGGCTCTCTGTCTCTGTCTTTCTGACAAGTGCATGAGCACTATTGCAAAAAACCTCTCCCCAAAAGAAAGAAAGAAAGAGAGAAAGAAATAAAGAAAGAAATCAAAGAACACTGTTCTACTTCAACAATATGAAGTTAAGGTCTGTTTTTATGTGTTGCTTAACAAATTACAGAAGTAATTCTACATTGTCTTTTTTAATGAATAATTGTTCCTTTTATATTTAGAGTTACTTATTTAATTTTATTTGTTACGATTATTTTCACATAGATTTTTGTTATCAGGTGCTTGTGCTCATCAGAGACACAGGGAAAGACAGAGACAGAGAAAGTGAGAAATCACCTCCTAGGGGGAATGGGCACACTGTAGTCCGTTCTTCATTTACCTCTCTGGACTTTGGATAGACACACCTATTCCCCCAGTGTGAGTTTCAAACACCAGGTCCAGGATTCAAACCATCGTCAGCCATGTTGGACCCCCGTACCTTAACCACTA